TGAAAAACATTGATTTGTAAATTCTTGCCCCAAAAAATCAAGTAATTATGTGATTTTAAATAAAAGTTTCAGGACTTATTCACAAATATTAAATTATTTGTTAAAAATTTTAATTTAATTAATTTTAATTTAATTTTTTTTATCGATCTCATAAATATATTAAAAATTTTAAATATTTCTTTTTTTCTTTTTTTTTTTAACACGGACATCATTAGTAAAAAATAAAAACAAGCAAATGTAAAATTCATCAAGTTAAGTTTGACTTTTTGGTAATAAGTTTTTTAATTTTCAAATCCTACAGAAAGCTATGAATTTATAAAGTGAGTCTTTTTTTTTTTAAAAAAAAAAATATGTTTAAGTAAATCAGAATAACTTGTATAATTTTGAACTATCATGCACATCTTGGTGCATAAGTTCTTTACCACCAAATTGGAAGTTTGTTAATAATTAGATTCTCAGCATGCGTTTCTTTAAATTTTAAGTTTAAGTCATCTAGTGTTCGTGAGTTCAATCCCTGGATGATGTAATAAAGTGAACAATAACTGACATCACATTCACGGGGACAGATTATTTGTCCCCCGTGAATGTGATGTCAGTTATGTCAGATGGGGCACCTCGAGGCGGTGTAATGGTTAGCAAGGTTGTCTTGCCAGAGTTCGATCCTCACTGGGGACCCCAAACTTTCGGCCTTGTGCCACATCTAAGCTACGCTTGCAAAATCGCTGTGTCAGATGATTATTGTGACAGTCACAATAATCAGCTGATCCTATGTCAAGATGATGAAACGTTATGCAATAACAAACAACATAACAACATAAATCAAGATGAGGGCACTGTGACATGGTAATGGTTAACAAGCTTGTCTCACTGGAACTAATTACAACTGAGTAGTGGTTTCAATCCTCATTGGGTACCTCATACTTTCGGCCTTGTGCCAAATTTAAGCTTAGAAAATCACCATAAACCAAAATGAGAAAAAAATAGTTTGAAATAATGCAAGTATATATCGACAATTAAATTATTCATCCCAGAAATGATATGAAGAAATTGTTTGAAATGCTGAACTACCCAATTTAAAAATGTAAACAAAAGAATTATAAGAATATACCAGATTGACAATTGAATAAACAAAAAACTAAGAATTAAAAAAAGAAATCAATGTATGGGCTTATAGAATCGTACGTTTGTCTACTCACCCCCGTTAAAAATAGACTCTTCTATAACAATTAGCTTTGACCAATCAACACCATACATTGTGAAACTCGACTTGTTATTGGTCGAGACGACCCTAGAATGTGTAGCCATGGTCAAAAATCTGTTTTCCCGCCAGGCTCGTTGGAGCCTACTTTGGTTTCCCAAAACAAATAAAAGGACGAATTTCAGTCCAATTCACCAGTCAGTAATTCGCGCCTTCAGAGAGATTCCACACAGATCCACGCGTGTCTATATTTTGACTTGAGAACTTTTCACGCGTCAACTCCTGACTCAATTACCAACATCTTTCTATCTCTCTAAACAGCTTTCTTAAAAAGTGTTAATTGCACTACGAAACAAAAATTGTAATGTTAACATAAGACAAAAGAAAATACAGTCCAGGGTGAACAACTCTGTCAGAACAAGGTTAACAAATTCAACTTAAATCTCACTTTACATTATTTTTAAATTTACTTCTCAATAAATGTTTCCTTGGTATTACAATGGGAACATTTTCTCAACAATTGAACATTGCTGAACTTTAATTCATTTTCCTTGATGCAAACTTCGTCAACTTACATAACATCAATACACAACCTTTTCTCTATTTGTAAAAATTGTATATAAATGTTCGATATTTTCTAGTTGAATGCACATCCACCATTTTCTTGTTAATTTTGCATTGAGTTTTATTCGACTTATACGTCTATGCTTTTATTTGTTGTGATTCATGGGAAGAACATGCTGTCAAACTCATCACGCTAGCAACTAAAACCTTCTGATTTCGCACTCAATTCATAGCGATCCCAACAGGTTACATTTGAAATATTTGCGATGGAAAGATTCGTCCCTGATTAGGATGATATTTATTTTTTAAATCAGTATAGAAAGCCAACGTATACGATAAACAATTATAGATTACCCACAAAACATTCAGCCTATCAAAAAATCATGTCAGCTTTCATCGTAAAACGTGATAATTTGGACCAGGAAGTGGACAGAGTAAACAAAACATTTCACCGGTGGAATGTTTTATTGTTTATTCCTGTTTCCCTGACAGCTATAATCTCCAACTATTCAAATGTAATGTCAATCGACATCTCCAGTTGCCTTGATCTATCCACTATCCTTCTCCTCATTCTTTCCTCTATCACTCCTATCTGCTTTCACTCCAAATCTTCTGTAACCCCTTGCGTACTAGTGGTTTCCCGCCTTGCTTGGGGTGAATCGATTAAAAAAAAATAAAAAAAAAAAAAAAATAAAAAATGTCATATCCCGTCTGAACATTGGTGATCATCTCTTTTAATTTTTTTTTCTTTATTTCCTGTTGTCATCCATTTTGGTTGGGGAAAGACAGAGTAATTCCATTTGTTTTCCATCTTGTTTTTAATCATTTCTCAAACATCCTATTTATTGACCCTAATTTATTACAATTTCTTATTGTTCCACTCCACTAGGATCCCCTTTCTTTGGCAACCAATAGTACGTTCTAGTAACATTTAGTACATTTTATAAAGTTTCTCTCTGTGAAAGTGCTCTCTCTTCATGATGTTCAAATTAGAACTCTTTCTGATTCACTCCACATCAAAATCCGTTAGTCATTTGTGAACACTATGAAAGCAAAAAATAAAAAGTTGCTCTATGCACAGCGGCTACAAGCATTACACCTAGTTCACAAAACAAATCCTCTTTCCCAATTAATAGGCAGAACCACATAAATGCATGCTGGGATTTCTTCCTCGCCAATAATATAGGCCTCTTCTTCGTCTCACCTGACTCAGTCCCAATCTGCTGTTTCAGGCGGTTTGGGATGACTTGGCAGAGAGGAACCCAGACAAGGCTATGTCAAAGGGCAGAGTCACATCAGGGGGAAGTAGACAAGCTCAACCCCGTATATGTGGGGTCTATGGGAAGTTTTTGCCCAAGCCTACAGGCTCGGATTCGCCACATGTAAAAAACGGCCTTGTGCCACATACTGCCTTGTGGGAAGGTGAGGTAAATAATCTCAGTCCTGGTCTATCTTGTATTGAAGTCAGAATGCTACGGTTGTTTACCTAAGTTCACTTTTGTGTGTCAACACTAATTCTTAGTTTGTGAACTTTTTGCCTTATTACTGTTGCTTTGCCTTGCATATATTGTTAGCTTGCTCAATATTAATTTTTCCCTGTTCTTTTCTTTTCTTGTTTATTATAAACTTTGTCAATTCTGTTCTGCCATTTGCATTTAACCATGGACACTTAATCTACAAAAATATAAAATAAAATTTAAAAGGTGCCAATTACAATGTTGCCACTAAAGCAAAATATTTAAAAATAAACACTGAGTCATATATCCACCCCGACTGCTTAAAAGGGCCTGCTCTCAGCACTCAAGGTACTAAGCCAGCCACTAACCCAACATAATCCTCAATGCCATGACCAACCGACCCTCACATCCTCCAGGTCACTTCCCTCACCCACCTAGAAACAGTCCGCTTTCACCCTTTATATTGGCAATACAAACAATTTTATTTTAACATATTGTATCTCCTTTGCCATTAGCCTCACTGGCAGCACTTTGTTATTTACTCAACTATTGTCCTCATTGTTATCACAATGTTTCAGCTATTGTGCCCTCTGCCTTCCTCAGGAGGGATTTCTGAACTGAACCATTTACTTAATCTACAGGGTTAGACCGTTCTTGTTTCACTACCTATGTCTAGGGATATTGTCTAGTTCTTATTTTTAGTACTGCTCAGTTATTGCTCGCCCATTTACAGTGAGCCCAAGTACACATGCCTGACCCTAGATTGAACTCACAATCACTATGTCATGAACCATGTGAATTTACTGTCTGGGTTGGTCTGTCAAAGGACAGTTTTTTTATTCATAAATTTATAAACATATACTGAATTATTAAAATGTGTGAACTATAAGGAAATCCTTATCATTTACCATTTTATAAAGTTTGAAGCGATTGGCAATTAGCCAATGTTTTGCCAACCATTTTAATAAATAATATAAAATAAATAGTGTAAATAAACAATCTAATAAATAATGTTTATTATTTTCGTTGTGAATTCTCAAGAACAAAGAAAATGTATGAATTCTTTTTCATATGTTTAGGATATGTCCTGTGAATATTAAATTTTCCAAGCCCTCTTTCCTCATAATGTCCAAAAAGGTTGACAGTTTTTTCTTATATTGATAAAAAAAGGAACTTAGCCAATATATTTTCCCTAAATCATACATTAAATGCCAAAACGTCGCATGTAGACAGTGAGTTGCAGTTTGACATTTCCTGATTCAGAATGAAATTATTTTCATATATCAGAGGCAAATTAATTTCTCAATCATTTTGTTGGAAGAAAAAATATATTACTGTACTATTAATAGCAATATTTTTTTAAAAATCATTTTACCACAAGCAAGGCAATAAAGCCACTAAGATGCAAAAGGATTACTGCGGATGAAAGAATCATAGAAAAATCATTGAAGGTGGTTGATTGCTTTTGCTTAGTGGCATATCTATGGGTTAACACGTCCATTGCTAATTACGGAGATCTTCATTTTTCTTATCTTGCTTCAGCTGGCTAAGTACAGAAACCTACGTTTTTTTGCACACCGCTGGTATGAGTGTCCTGTTGTGCAATCTATCGTAAAATCACAAAGGACAATGCTTCAGAAGATGTCATGTGTATACCCATTACTAATCTGGTAAGTCATTCCCAGGTATATCCATGAAAATGGAATGCTGTAAAACACACTGGTGACAGTTTTGATTAACATTTCAAGTCATTATCCATTACACCACCCACACAGATTTAGAACACATGGTATTCCTAAGCGGTCACCCATCTATGTACTGACCAGGCTCAATGTTGCTTAACTTTGGTGGTCATTAAGGGAACTGGTGTTTCAGTGTGATGTTACAATGTTGATACTTTGACTAAACCACATTGCATAACCCTGATTAAATACTTTAGTTCTTGAATTTTGTAACGCTTTGTTAATGGTAACATTTTCACCATTTTAAACCACTGGCGATATTTATTAAGGAAGATCATATGTGCAAAATTCCTTTCTGCTCTCTTCGTAAAACAGGATAATTCAAACCAGGAAGTAGACAGTGTAAACACCAAACATTTCCCCAGTGGAATGTTTTATTATTTTTATTTTAAATGTCATGCCCCGTCTGAACATTGGCGATCATCTCTCTCCATATAATTTTTTTTTTCTTTATTTCCTGTTAATTGTCATTCAATTTGGGGAAATAAAGTGATTCCATTTGTTTTCCATCTTGCTTTTAATCATTTCTCAAACATCCTATTTATTGAACCTCCATTTATTACAATTTCTTATTATTCCACTCCACTAGGATTCCCTTTCTTTGGCATTCAATAGTACGTTCTAGTAATATTCGGTACATTTTATATAGTTTCTCTCTGTGAAAATGCTCTCTCTTCATGATGTTCAAATTAGATCTCTCTCTGATTTACTCCATATCAAAATTCGTTACCCAGTAGTGAACACTAAGAGATCAAAAATAAAAAGTCGAACTCTACACAGGGGATACAAGAATCACACCTAGTTCACAAAACAAATACTTTAGTTCTTGAATTTTCTAACCCTTTGTTAATGGTAACATTTTCAGCATTTTAAACCATTGGCGATATTTATTAAAGAAGATCATATGCGTAATCATTATTTGCCTTAAAAAGAAGAAAGGTTCATATTTATTTTTTCTATGGAGAAGAAATATATTTTTTCTTTTAAGAATATTTTTTGTATAGTCAAATAAAGTAGAAATAAATTATATATGCCGACATGTATTAACCAGACCATTGTCAGTGATAACCATATACAAAGTCCGCAGTTTTGAAATTGTAGAAAAAAATTTTTTTGTAATCCTTAACCTTTCTTCCTGCCAAAAAAAAAAAAAGGTATGTCAAAAGAATGGTTTTTCCTTTGACACTGCTATTATTTTAACTACCTTCACTCCTCGGAAATGATCATTGTTTTCAAAAGCAATGATTAGAATTTTAATAAAACCTAAACATATGAAAGTGAATTTATACATTTTCTTTGACCTTGAGAATTGACAAACTGTACTGGAATTGGAACTTGCATCTATGATTAAAAATTCCGAGCCATTATCCATTACACCATCTGCGCATCCAAACTTACAGCACCTGGGACTCACAAGCAGTCACCCATCTATGTATTGACCAAGCTTGATGTTGCTTCACTTTGGTGATTGTAGAGGAACCAGTGTTTCAATGTGATGTGGCTGTAAGCCTCATTATTAAGAAGAGGGGACAATAAAAGAACAGGAATTAAGAAGACAGAAGATGACAAAATGACATTTTGTTTAAATTTTTGAAGATCAAAGTTGACTAAAATGCAAAAAGCCAGAAGAGAGTTCCACAAGTGAGAAGTGTGGGAAAAGAAACTGTTAGTCTAGAACTTACGATTGCTTCAAGCAATTTCAACTGTAACATGATATAGGACCTAGCTGCCAATTTAGTACTGCACTTCAATTTGTAAAGTCAAGGTACCAAAGAGGAAAGAACAGTTAACATGAAATACAGGCTTAGCTTAGTCTGGCATAAGACTACATCAGTTGGGCATTGAGTGAGGATCACATTCATAAATGATGACTTGTAAGACTAGCATGATAATTATCATTTTCTGGCAAACATGCTCAAAGCAAAGTATATCTGTAATTTCTATGGACAAGATTGATGGAACTGGCCTTTGCTAGAATGAGAAACCTTTCTTAGTAGAAAATATTTAGGCAACAAAAAAATTCTTATTCTTTTAAAATCAAGTCTTTGTGGTAAAAATAGGAAAAAATACTGTGTATTTAAAAGCAAGACACCAATTTTCTGGTTTTATTTAAATACACAAAAAACACTATTCAGTAATTGCTAAAAACAAGGGCAATATCAATGAATATAGTGAAATGGTCGTTGTTTATCAGTGAGAACTGATGTGCCTTTATTTTTTAGCTGCAAGACATTTTTGGTTCTGTTGCTGAAATAAAATGATATATGAATGTCGATGTATTTGTGTCAAAACGTTTCTGTATGAGAAATTATCAAAAGAAAAAAAAAATCTTTCAATAAATCCATTATCGGAAAATATTGTAGATGCATGTTTGCGTAGTAGACACAGAATCATTTGATATTAATAATTTTTTTATGGTAGTCTCTTGAATTAAATTTTACAAATGATTAAATTGATCAATTTAATTGAGTATTTCAGTTTTAACATTTCATTAACAAACAGAATTGTCATGATAAAACTAAAACATGAAGTTTTACAAGCATGAGCAAATTTTCCAGGAAACAAAAAATATTCAGCTGTGTATTCTGTCTCTAGTTTTCAAAAACAAAAAAAGTGTTCTGGAAATATCTGCTCATATCTAATATATCCAATGTAGATGTTTTCTGTTTAGTGACTATACCAAGAAGAACAATTTCTACAAACAATGCTTCTTCATAGAAGGCATATTTTTGATGAACAATCGTTTCACAAGCTTTCACTAATTCAGAGATTTTCTCATAAATTTCAAAGCAAAAGATATTAATCAAATATGGATTTTCAAATGCTTTTTCAAGTTGACATCTTGCGAGAAAGATTTGCCACACACTTCACAATGATAGGGCTTCTCACCTGTATGTGTTCTCATATGTCTTTTTAGGTGCTCATTACGAGAGAAAGCTTTTTTACACACTTGACATTGAAAAGGTGTTTCACCTGTATGTGTTCTCAGATGTGCTTTTAAGTTACTCTGAAGAGAGAATGATTTATCACACACTTCACACTGATAAGGTGTCTCTCCAGTATGTGTTCTCATATGGCCAACCAGCAGGTGTTTTAAAGAGAATGATTTATCACACACTTCACATTGAAAAGGAGTCTCTCCGGTATGAGTTCTCATGTGTGTTTTTAAGATGCTCTTTAGAGAGAAAGACTTGTCACAAATGTTACAATGAAAAGGGGTCTCACCTGTATGTGTCCTCAGATGCCTTTTTAAGTCAACATTACTTGAGAAAGCTTTACTACACATGTTACATGGGTAAGGTGTCTCTCCAGTATGTATTCTGACATGCCTCTCCAGATCAAAGGCATGAGCAAAAGATTTATTGCAGACTTCACACTGAAAGGGTGTCTCTCCAGTATGTGTTCTCATGTGTCTTTTTAAGTCAGAATTACTGTAGAATGTTTTGTTGCAGACATCACATATTTTACTCGTATGTGTTGCAATGTGTTTTTTCAAGATTTCTTCATTGCAGAAGATTTTTCTACAAACGCTGCACTGAAAAAGTGTCTTTCCCATACGGATATTTGTATGACTTTGTAACTGAGTGTATTCGGAGAAAGGGTTTTCGTATTCATCCTGATAAGGATTGAAATGAAGAGGAGAATTGATACTTTCATTGAGGTAGTCTTCTAATTTGTGATTATTGTAGTTGCTTAAATCAACTGTTAATAAAGGTTCTTCAGAGAAGGTTTCTCCAGAAATTTCATATGGCATTTCCATCCTTGTTGATAATTTCACTTCTTTCGTCTTTCAAAATGTACGTTTAGCTGCGTGCTGAACTTGGAACAAAACAGGAATGTCTGTAGCCTGTAAAATGAAATTTGCAAATCAAATAATTATAAATTATATATATCTATAAAAAACAAAAGTCCGACTCACAAACCATAGAGAATGCAATGACAAGCAACTACATTAATTTTTTTATCAATAAGTCATAGCAATTCAGATATAACAAAGGAAGCTGTAAAGGACCATGTCAGCTGAGAATGTCAGCTCAAGAAGGCACGAGTCACTCTCTTTGGGGGTTACAATCAGCTATGCTGATGGAAGGCAGAAGGGATCTCTTTGATGATTAATAGTGTTATACTGGAACACACCTATTCTATAGTTAATAGACTCTCCCACCTATAATAAGTAGGAGTAGTAGCAGCAGTCGCTGAGTCGGTCAGTCAGTTGATGTCGGACGACTGTTAGTCGGATATTAAAGTATAAGCCACCACAACTAGATTGCTGCGTCATTAATTATTATATCAAGTTCCTAACGTTTTGTACATCGAACCTATTTTAGGACCGACTTAGTACAAATACAAGCCTCCACTGTGAAAACCATTACATATCAAATAGAAAGCAGATTAGCTTTGGGAGTGTTAAAATTAACAAGCCAGCTTTTTCCCCAGTTAACAACAGACTGAAGGTAGGTTTTGACATCAACTGCCAATTTGACAATATCAGACTGATCAGACTTACTATCAAGACAGGAGTAAATGGTTGTGTCACGGGCATAGATACCAAGTTGAGAGCTGATGCTTTCGAGAGAGTCATTAATGAAAATTAAAAGCAAAGTAGGATCAAGGACTGAGCCCTGGGGGACACCTGCATTAGTACAAAAGAATGTAGCCATGTGGCTGTTCAGGTTAACACAGGCAATGTAAGTTTTGTAAAGATGGATAATTATGTCTTCAAAACAAATATATACATTTACCAGTTACTTTATATGCATTTAAGATATGAAATGCCTATGATTTGAACTCATATCCCTCCTTGCAGGAAAAATTATCATTAGATCTGACATGCTTTGGGCAATGACATGGCCAAGTTGGCTTAGAGCGCATCAGATCTAATGATCATTTCTCCTGCAAATGAAGACACAGGTTCAAATACTACCAGATAACATGTTTTATTTTAATAAGATTTCCCAAATATCCAGACTGGTAGCTTAGAGCGCATCAGATCTAATGATCATTTCTCCTGCAAATGAAGACACAGGTTCAAATACTACCAGATAACATGTTTTATTTTAATAAGATTTCCCAAATATCCAGACTGGTAGCTTAGAGCGCATCAGATCTAATGATCATTTCTCCTGCAAATGAA